AATCATACAGAATCCCAGAGTGTGGCCCACTGGATAGTCAAGGTTCTGTGACCACGCAAAGCCACTTAATCATTGAGAGGGGTACTCATGGTGTTCCACTAGGAAGCCAGGTGAAGGGGTCCAAGAAAGCTATCTGTGGAGCTGCTTGCTAGTTTGCCTCAGGGTGCACCTGAGTAGACAACTGTGGGAGAAAGGTGCACTGTATCACTGGTCACTGACACTGGGGGAACATGGTGCTGAGAAAGTTGCAGATTTTATGTACTGAAAAAGCCTGTCTAAGTCATGTGTAGTGCCTCACACCTTAATCCCAACACCCTGGGAGGAAGAGGTAGGCCAGCCTGGTCTACAGAGTGAGTTCCAGTCTTGAAAAACTGAAAAACAAAACCAAACAAAACCATACACATGGAAAAAAACCAAAACAACAACAAAAAAGAAAAGGAAAGAAAGAAAGAGAAAGGAAGGAAAGAAGGAAAGGAGGAAGAAAAAAAAGAAAGAAAGAACGAGTGAGCGAGCCTGTCAAGTGTCTCTTGCAGAAGGCTGGGGTTCAATTCCTGGTACCTATTGGTGGCTCAAAACTATCCATAACTCCAGCTCCAGGGCATTTATCTTCTGAACTTCTCAGACACCCATATGACATATTTCACACACATAAATGCAAGCAGAACACTCATACATATAAAAATAAATTCTAAAAAATAAAGAAAAAAGAAAAGTAAGAGGAAGAAAATATGCTACCAGGTAGAGATCTCTCCAATGCCCCCTCCTGACAGCTTAAGTTTATGCCAACTAGTAAAAGAGTTCACACGATTTGACTGTTTCTTAAAGCAAGCAAAGGAGGGTACATTCATAATCTTACAGTAATAATGTTAACTGGCCACTTTTTGTAATTGAAAAAAAAAGCTCATAATGAGAACTGTATTTCACTGGCCTCTGAAAAGTATTGCAAATGAGCCAGACACTCTTCTATAGATAAATGGATAGATGTATATACAAATATGAACCTGTAGAAGGTTCAGGAGATGTGCACTCTGCATGCCCATCTCTACAGAAAGATTAGAACTACCACCCTCTGATGGTCAGGCTGATGACTCTCTTCTTGTGTACATTTAATGTCATAGCCTCAGTTTTATTTGAGTGTTGCTTTTTAGCAACAAAGGTAACAGGCATTTAAGAAACAACCAATTGGGGGTGGGCTGGAGAGATGGCTCAGTGGTTAAGAGCACAGGCTGCTCTTCCAGAGGTCCTGAGTTCAATTCCCAGCAACTACATGGTGGCTCACAACCATCTGCAATAAGATCTGGCGCCCTCTTCTGGCGCAGGGCATACATGGAGGCAGAATGTTATATACATAATAAAAGTAAATAAATAAATCTTTAAAAAAAACCGTAGAGTTATGAAATCAATAAAAGAAACATTTGAGAACCTATCAGCAGGAGGGAGTGGCTGTGAGACACTGGGGTTTGTTCTCAGTCCGTCATATGCTGAAGAAGAGAGCTGTTGTACTGTCATTAAGTACATTATGGTAGCTTGCTGCAATGAGACCAACACACTCCACTGCCTGGCTCTCAAGTCCATGTTCTTCTTCCCACATCTTCTCAGAGCGAGTTAATATGACCAGCACAGCACCTCAGAGGTGACTGAATGGTTTTCAAGGTTGTCATAACAGGCATTATGGCTTCAGCATTGGTCTCTTTGACACCTTATTCTCGGGAGACCCAGTTGTCATGCATGAGACATTCAAGCAGTCCTGTAAAGAGATCTAAACAGGGAAGAACTCGGGCATTATTCAGCAATCGGTATCAGCACACAAGCTGCATGAGTCAGTTAGCTGCAAAGTCAGTCCTCTTTTATTTACTGAACTTTTAGATGACTGAGTATCAGCTGATAGCTTGATGCAACACTGGTAAGTCTCAGACCAGAACCACAGAATAGCTCACAGATTTCTAACCCACAGGGTTTGGAGGCAATTAATTTTATTACTAATACATACTTATAGATAATATTCTCAGAGGCTAGAATCTGCCCCAGCCCACATCATAAATAAATGTGAAAAGAATTTATAAAGAATAAACACTGTTTTGTGCTGAGGATGCAGCTTCATGGCAGAGTGTTTGCCCATTATTAATGAGACCCTGCTTTCAATCCATAGCACTGATAAAAAGCACGAGTAAACACATTTTGAATTAGTCAAAGGGTAAGAGTAGGCCTAACAAGGAATGATAATACTGCAGGCTGTAACTCAAACAGCTGTGGATGTTTATACAACTGGCCGTGCTACACTGAAAACTGGGATTCTCTGTAAATGTTCCCTAGCCCTTCCGAAATGTGGGAGAGAGCAGCTAGATTCGCTCTCCAAATACCACAGGCTCTCATTCCTTGTTATCATGTGTGTTGTTATCCATGTTTTTTTTTTTAGTTGCTTCCTTGCTAAGCTGCCCTCATCTTGAACTCTTTTTTTTAAATTAATTTATTTTTTATTTATTCTTTGGATCTTTCACATCATGCCTCGTGATCTCACCCTCCCATATACACCCCAAATTAAAACAAAGACAAAATTTAATAGGGGAAAAGCTGTCATGGCAGCTGCAGTGTGACACAGGGAGTCACATAGTAAACCCCTTTGTCCATATACTTTTACATGCAGGCATTCATCATAAAGAACCATGGATCTCATTCAAGGCCCCTGGTTTCTGCTGCACCATCAAGGCTAGGCCCTCATTGGGACTCTTCCTGGACATCATGTTGTTGCCTTGTGTTATGGAGATCCTACAGCCCTGGGTTCACAACCCCCACCCCACCTCCACACCCCAGCAGATCACAGTGGACCAACACATAACCCTTGTTTTGGGCCTAGGTAGTTGCAGGATTAGTCAGCCAGTCAGTTCTCCCAGTCTTTGCCGCCAGGGTGGGCTCTCCAGCTTTGCCCTGGCTAGTTCACCCCCTTCGATGATGAGCAAGGGGCAGTGCCAGTTCTCAGCTTTTGTGACCTCCAGGTTATAAAAGAATCTAGAATCTCACAGAATTAATCAATTATGCTTTTTTTTTTTTTTGCTATCTTTGCACTCTTGATTAAAGCAATCAGAAGTAAGCATTCCACAAATACTGGCTATCACATTTTGTCATTTTAAAATAATTTTCTTTAAATTTCTCTTGTACTTTTTTTCAAGAGTGCTACTCCAAGGACAGAAATCAACCTAACCTCAGAAAAGTTAATATTGCTGAAGAACGCTAATTAACAATCACAAATTTTTCATTATCTGTTACCACTGTACTTTTATGAAAAAAAATGGGGACAATAAAATAAAGCCCACCAAGACCAAATGAACAAAAAGCAAGTATTTTTCTTAGAATTTGTCTTTAGTAGCAAATTATAGGTGACACATACAATTGTTCTTTTGCATTTCCAAATTTTATATAACCCATGTAAAAAGATTTTTAAATGGCATGTTAGTGCCATGGAAGCCCCTCACCAACTGCTACCATTTGGTTATCTCAAACTCATCCCAAATTTCAAGCCAAACAGTACCACTATTCTGGGACCACTGTTTCCAATATTATTCTATACCTACACATTTTAATAGAATGGAATATTTGCATAATGTGCACAATTTGACTCAGTTCAACAGGAGCAAAACTACTTTTAGAAACCTTCTTTTTTTATGTTGACTTTCTGCTTCATTTTTTATTTTATTTTATTTTATTTTTTTTTTAGTAAATTTTATTAAATTATAAAAGTTTCCATTTCCACCCCCCCTCCCAACACCCTCCCACTCCCCCTATAGAAACCTTCTTAATACAAGTTTATAAAGTTTAAAATCACCTCATATAACATATATTTTAATTTCTTGATCATTTTAATGTTTTTGTTTATGCTAGTAAACCTTTGATGGACTCTACTTACCACTGTGAAACGCCTTAATGTCTTAAAAATTATAAACATTTTGTGGCTAATGTACATCTTATAGTGCTGTGTGAGAAGGTTACATCAACTCTACAAGGTCTCCTGGAAGCCTGAGTCACAAACCTGGGTGACAGGAGCTGCAGAATTAGTTGGTGGGGGTTGTAAGGAATTCCTGGATTCAAAGGATTCTGACACAAAACAAATCTGGACAAAACAGATCACAATGTCACTAAGGACCTAGCCTTCATTATTTGTTCTGCCATTTTTGGTTTTCCTTCTTGTTTGTTGCTTCATGTTCCTCAGGAGCATATAAGTGGTTCACAGTCAAATAGCCACTAGCTTTAAGGGGGATCCGAAAAAATGTTTTTAAGCTAGAATTAAGGTCTCACGGGGGTGACTGAGTAAATTAGAGAGCAGTCTTACAGAAAGTCCGGAGTGTATGGGGATATGGTCACAGCGACTCTGGAAATGGGGATTGCACTCTTACTAGAGAATAGAATTTGAGACGCTACAGCTCCAATATTAAAGGGTATCCTCACATAAATGCAAGGTAGTATGGGGAAGGAAGATGTAGGGTAGTAGATTCTTTTTTTTTCTTTTGAAAGTAATTTTATTAAATTATAAAAAGTTTCCATTTACGCCCCTCTTCCCAACGCCCTCCCACTCCCCCCCTCCCTCTCCTCCTCCCTCTTTGTCCC